AGCGGTTCACTCAGGTGCAGTCGGTGAAATGGCAACGTGCTCTATAGAGGCGGTAGAGAAGAAAAAAGGAAGTGAAAGCATTTACGATACTAAGAGTGAAAAGCAAATAAGTGCTCCTGTGTTACCTCAGGCTAATCTTGCGAATAATACAAGTCAGCCTATAAACTAGAGGTCCTGAATCTTTTTTGCTTCTTTGTAGGGTGACAAAGCAGTGGAGGCTTGAGTCGAAGTCCATGCTTAATCTCTACCGTGCTACAGAAGCGGAGGTCACTGGGTGTCAATATAGCTGATGACCATAGTTCTAAAAACTCTTGTAAGGGTCTGGTGAATACAGGCAAAAAAAATGGTGAAGATCTGTGTGGTACTGCCAACTTCCAAGAGTATATTGTGGCATAGTTTTCTTACAAAGTTACACTTCAAGGAAACTTTGACAATATGGAGGAAGAACCCACAGCACCCTTTCATGTTTGGAAAAGGAATAATAAGAAACACCGCAAAATTATTTATATAATTATGGTGTCTATCTGTTTCCTTACATACAGTATTTTAAATAAAAGTCTGAATTTTGTTTCAGTAAAAAGAGTTTGATGCTGCGATCTCTGTGTTGTAAGTAAACAATTTTTAAGTAGCCTTTCTTCGTAGTTGTGTAGTATCTAAGAGGATTTTTATGCTCACCAACTTAACATGTTAATCAAGGCAGGTTGAAAGAACTGCGAATTTGAGCAGTGAGACATACTACTTTTATTTAGAAAATCTATTTTGGAAAATAATTAGGAACAGTAAGGAGTTATTACAGATTGTTTTGAGAGGCAAAGTCTATACAAGCAGAAGACAGACAAGCAACATGAAACAACAAGGTGGTGTTTGAATATTTAAAGTTTATCAAATGAAAGTATTCACATAAAGTGGGATTAAGTGCAGAGATTAATTTTTATTAATTTCTTTTATAAATTGCAAAACAATATAATAGAAATGAATTTGCACTAAGTGCACTTATGAACACTTCAGAGATAGTTATGGGAGTAACCAGTAGATTTGGACCAGAGTGCCTTCCTACACCTGAGTTTTAATGTTAATTAACCTGCCATGAAAATGCAGCAATAACTTTTTATACTTATGAGTTCAGCACTTCCTGAAGCTGGAGGTCAATCTGAATTAGTTCAGGAACATTTTTCTGGGACATTCTCTGAGTGTCATGGAATAATATAACTCATTAATTGTTCTAGATTCAGAGTATAATTTAGCTCCATAATTGTAATTGAATGCCTTGTAAAAACAAGAATTCTCAGCTACCTTTTTGACCCAAAATGCTTTTTTCTGTAGTGTTTTGTTGAGTGTACAGGGACAAGCTGATTAGAATTTTGAGTCGGATAATCCTCATCCAAATGTATATTGATGTCTTCATCAGAACTTCAAAAGGTTTGTAATGCTGGCCTTCTCACTATGGAAGCAAAATCAACACCCCCACCCCAGGGTTATATTTATTCATATATCTGCTTGTTCTAGCATTGTTATAATCTCTGATAAAATGTCCTGTACAGATTACAGTTTCACAAAGCTGTAGTTCTCCTTGGAAACTGTTGGAATAAATGGGTATCATATTTGCCATGCAAGGAAATTTTAAGTGGGAGCTTAGCCTAATCATTAGTAATTCTGCTATTCATCATAGCTTTCTCTTAGAGATTTTATGTGAGTGTCATTTGGTCCTGGTTCTTTCTTAGGGCTTATTTTGGCCATAGATAGACCATAGCCTGTTCATACAGATCCTGTTCTGTCCCCCTCACAAAAAAAAAAAAATGTGACATGCAACCTAACTGGGTTTCTTCCACAGTGAATATCAGTGCAAGGAATCAATTTAAGCATGTCTGCAAATAGCCATGTCGTTTCTGAGTGCTTCTTTATTCCTTGACCATTAATAGGTAATATAGAACTCTAGGACACCTTTTCCCTGTTTGTAGATTTAGTTATGATTCCTTTAGCTAGTTGTTTTTCAGAGTTTCTTTTCCTCCGTCTAGTTATATTTTTAATTTTAAGTGTCAGAGTTTAGAATTCTTTTTTTTTTTTTTTTCCTTCATTTGGTGATTCTTAAGTCTATTAGAGGACGCTTTCTTGTTTCTGTTAACTTCCTTTGCTGTTTAGGTAGCCAGGCCTCTTTTTTTCCCCTTTTCTCAAGCCTTTCCTAATTGGAATTAATAGCACAATGGTGCTCTGCTTCCTCTATGATAGTCTGCTTTATCATCTTTCTAACAAGTGTTCTCATTTTAATGTAGCTCTTCTCTTCCTCCAGTGGATTTTATGGTGTTTGGTGCTGCTGAAGAGGTGCTGAATATGGGTATAACAATCCATGTTACACAGTGGCACTTCAGTGGTGAGATTTTGTACCAGATTAAGATCTTTCATGTTTTTCAGGACCAAGTAAATGGTTCATTTTCTTCTTGTGGTCTCTTAGCCAGTTGATTCACAAAGCAATCAGCGATATGCTTTAAACATTTCTGTTCTGCTTAACATCACAGGGTAATTTTTGCTCCGCTTACTGAGGGATAATTTTAGTCAGTCAGTGGAATTTCAGTGCTTGTCATAATGCTATTGTAAACTTTTTTGGCATACCAGAGCTGGTGTTGCCCTCCTGGTGGGGAGAGTGGTGTCACAGCACTACATTGCTGCTACTGGGCTTGGACCTGCCACCCATACAGATTTTGTGTTATGCAGTAAGGCTGTTAGTTACAAAGACAGATACTAAGCAGCATGTAGTAGAGAATATTACCCACCAGTGTCAGAGTTTACGCACTGTTTTTCCTGTGTATATTGAATCCTGGTACTACAGTGTTTTGTTGATTGACTTCGTTCTGGTAAGTTTCTGATAGGTTGCTGTGTTGTCATTTCTTTTTTAGAGCTATATTGCATATTTCTACACAGATTAGTGTTAGAAGGGACAAAAGCAGTAGATTCAGTATCTTGACTTCCAGACAATACAGAAATCTTCTAGATTGACTCCTACAGTGATAGAGCTACAGGCTTTCATTAGCAATAGTAGTTTACTCCTTGAACTGATGGTTTGCGGGTGTTTTCTATGTAGACAGAAATAGAGATATGTAGGAAGATATGATAGAGAGTAGTAGATCTTCAGGAGAAGGAGTTACCTCTTTTACAGCTGGTGAAATTTGTACAAACGCTCACATCTGTTCTCCTTCAAAGAATAAACTCGGAAATGAAGTATGCCAGTTTGAGAAAACCATGCAGGAAGAGTTTAGAGAAACAGACTCAGTTGCCATTTATTGGAATTTTGGGAAATAAATGAAAGATAATATCTTCAGAGTTATTAGAAATATGATGTACAGTAATTATAATGAGGATAATCAAGTAGCAGGGCAGGTGGTTATAGGAGATGATAAATGGTCCACTGGGTGCCTTTGTAAAAAGACTAACTTGCACACAAATTGTGGGACTTACAAAACGAATTACTGGGTGAAATTCCCTGGCCTGTGTTATGCAGAGGGTCAGAACAGATAATTCTAATGATACCTTCTGGCTTTTAAATCTATGCATCTTTGAATCTAGGTTTTTAATTCACATACAGCTTTTTATATCTACAATTCTTTTTTCCTTTAAAAACTGTGTTACTATAATTGCTTAGATTTGCCAGGTTATCTTCATCTGCAATAATATATTACGTTTTGCTGCTTGTGAATATGACTTGGTGATGAATTCTTTCAGGTAGTGCTTCCTTACTGCTACTCACTTTTCCCCACAAAGAACATTCCTCTCCTTGAACTGTAAAACAAAAATATAAATAAGAAAAAAAGCAGGTAACTGAAGAAGATAATGCCTAATATCTATCTTTTGTGATCTCGATGAAAGAAAGAAGTATAGAAAGCATAGTGGACATTTTAGCAAAATACACAGGGCCATACAGGGCTATCCGTTTCCAAGCTGATCATGTCAATCACTGAGATATAATGATAGAACCAAGATATCAGTCATACTAACTTTTTCAATCCTGTTTTATGAGTGAAAGAAACAGCTGGTTTTAAATACTGAAATAATATGTGATTAAATTCAGATGTATGTACTTCGTGAAAACTTTTTAATAGCATGAACTCCCTAAATTTTTTAG